TCAAGCATTTCATTATAGGGACACAAAATTGACTAATGCAATTTCACTTTTTTTTTTTCCATAAAAGGAAATTTATTTGCATTCTCCCTGCCTTCCATCAGTCAAACTTTGGTTTCTTTTAAACCCTATACATGAATTGGGTTTAATTCACATGTATATAAATGACATTAATTCACATGAATATCAAAATGAAATAAATGTCCCTTCTTCTTCTTCTTCTTCTCCTCCTCCTCCTCCTCCTCCTCCTCCTCCTCCTCCTCCTCCTCCTTCTCCTTCTTCTTGAAACAGGTCTCTCTCTATGTGGCTCAGCTTGGCTTCCAGCTGTTAGACTCAAGTGTTCCTCCCACCTCTTCCTCTTAAGAAGCTGGGATTATAGGTCTGTGTGATCACACCCATATTTTTCTATGTTTAATTATTGAATCCAAAGATAGGCAGGAAAGAAGTGGCCTGTTCATTTTGGGACCAACTCAACTTTCAGGCTAAATTTATTATTCATTTATAACTTTAGAAACAAGCCTGGGAAGACATTTAAAGGGAAGTCGCTGCTCTGCATTCTGTGAAGAACATCCCTGGGCAATAAAACTGCTCATTTCTGTCCCCACTTGGTACAGGATTTTCTGAAACAGCTAGAGGGATAATTTCATACACAATTCTATTTAGGCACTATCCAATAATGGAGGCTGAAGCCTTTTTTGCTTTTTTTTTTTTTTTTGTGTGTGTGTGTGTGTGTGTGTGGGTCTCAGAAAATGTTGCCTATTTACCACATTCATGCTCTGCACTAAGCATAGGTTTATAGGCTCTGCCAGGCAGAGAAATAATATCAAGAAAAACACATGGTTCCTTGTAAAAACAGATGTCTGCAATTTTTATCTTAATGAAAAGAAATTGTTTTATGCTCATTTACTCATTAAGGAAGTTGAACCATTTATATTAGAGGGTACAAATACATATAAATGTATCAAGGCTAAAAAAGCAAAAAAAAAAAAAAATCAGCTAAGACATCAGATGTGTAAAAGAAGGACACAGAAGACAATCTGAAGTCCTTGAGAGTTCCACAACTTCTTGAGTTTTTTCTGTTCACAGCCTGAGAAAACCACCTTTTCCTTCTGAGACTCAGCCTTTTTTTTTTTTTTTTTTCAAATTCAACACTCCTGTGTGTGTCATTACCGGGCCCATTTATTTGAGTACTATAATTTGTTTAGAACTTATGGAAGGTTCCCAGAATCTCTAAAAGACCAGAATTAGTCAGGCTTGGAAATTAGGTAACTAGGAACCCAAGCCTTATCAAGTGGACTGGTTGTTCATCTTATGATGCCACTGAACACACACGATACTGGGGACTAGATGCCAGATCTGCTCCTGGGAGATATCACCCCTGGGGACATTCCTGACCAACAGGAAGAATCCACATGGGTCTAGTTTCTCACATACCCGCTCCAAAAAACGATGCCAGGGTCTCACAAGTGCAAGGTAAGYGCTCTACCGCTGAGCCATAACCCCAGCCCATATATCCTCAGCCATTTTTACTTTTTATTCTGAAACAGTGTGTCACTAAGTTGTTCAGCTCACCTCAAACTTGCAATCCTCCTACCTCGGTCTCCCAAAGAGCTAGGATTCTGTGAAGAACCTGTGCCATAGCACATGGCCACAATGATGTCTTAAAGGTATGTCTTGTTAAGAAAGGCTGACCATGTCTATGCCTTAACTGCAGTGGAAGTTTGGAGACAGAGTTTTGGCTTCAACTGGGAGAAGCAAAATTTATTATGTGGGAAATTCTGCAAACATAGGAAGATTATTTAAAAGATGCTAGGAGGACATAAGAATAAATTAGAAATTAGAAAAAAAAAATATATATATATATATGTTATCTCAAGGTTTCATTGCTAAATAGTTTCCAAAAAGTTGAGAATATTACTCTTGTATAAATATACAATGAGCATGTCAAAGATTTAATTCAACTTATTAATTAATAAGGAATCAGTGAGAGATTGAAACTGGCTTAAATAAGAATTACATTCTCAGTAAAATCTACTAGACAAAATTGTTTGCATTGCTATAAACAGGAATCATGTGCCTAGTTGCAGTGTTTTACAATTTAATTCTACCCTATTGGAGTTGAATAGAATCAAACGACTCCCCCAAGTATGCACTGGACAACTCCCAGCACTCCACTAAAAGGATACCTAATAATCTGTTATGCCTATTTCTAAGTACTGAATAATTTTTTTAAAATATCTTTATTTATTTTTATGTGGTGCTGAGGATCGAACCCAGGGTTTCACGAATAAATGGCGGGCGCTCTACCACTGAGCCCTAGCCCCAGCCCCTACTTTTTCTTAACATAATGTTAAGTGGGGAAAAAAAAAAAAAAAAAAAAGTATGTGTAATATGTTATTATTCATTTAAGAAAGGAGGAATATATATATATATATATATATATATATACATTTTTTAAGTGGAAGGAAGAATTTTAAATGGTTATCAAAGGAGAAAGGGAAAAGTGAAGAGAGGATGGAAATACAGGCAAGACTTCTTTGAAAATACCTTATTTTGCTGATTTTTATTAAAGTCCAAATAAATGTTTCACAAAATTATAAAATAAAGTTACTACTTGGCACGGTGGTGCATGCCTGTAATCCCAGCGGCTAGGGAGCCTAAAGCAGGATGATCACAAGTTCGAGACCAGCCTCAGCAATTTATCAAGGCTCTAAGCAACTCACGGGGACCTGTCTTAAAATAAAACAATAAAAAAGCCTGGGGATGTAGCTCAGTTGTTGAGCGCCCCTGGAACCAAAAAATTAAAAATAAAATAATAAAGTAAAGCTACAAACATGTAAAAGAATCCCTAAAAATCAGAAATAAAAAGGAAACAAATAAACCTGTGTATAGAGGTGTGGCATAAATGTACAATAAACTATTCTGAGTGACTTTAAAGCATAATTATTGACTTACATCCTTAATAGGATATGGCCTAAGTGAGGTTAAATATGTCTCCATTAGAATCTGAAAATTGTTCACAGTAATAATCTTATTGATGGCAGGTTTGTTGTTATTCTGAAATATAGCATAAATTGGGTGTTTTGTTGGTATTTTAGAAAACTGAAATTTTTACCACGTTTCAAAAGAGAGATAGCTGGGTGTGGTGGCTCACATCTGTAAGCCAATCAATTTGAGAGGTGGAGGCAGGAAGATCATAAATTCCAAACCAGTTTCAGCAATTTAGCAAGGCCCTGTGTAACTTAGTGAGAACCTGTCTCAAAATAAAAAAATAAAATGGGCTGGGAATGTAGCTCAGTGGCTAGCTGCCCTGGGTTCAATCCCCAGTTCTCAAACAAAGAAAGAGGGGGGAGGGGGGGAGAGAGAAAGGAAGAAAAGAATTTGTTGTCATCTATTTTAGATCTGATAACACTATTGTGATTAAATTTAATAGTCTTGGGCTGGGGATGTGGCTCAAGCAGTAGCGCGCTGGCCTGGCATGCGTGCGGCCCAGGTTCGATCCTCAGCACCACATACAAACAAAGATGCTGTGTCCGCCGAAATAAATAAATACTAAAAATTCTCTCTCTTTCTCTCTCTCTTTAAAAAAAAAATTAATAGGGGCTGGGGATGTGGCTCAAGCAGTAGCGCGCACGCCTGGCATCACATACAAACGAAGATGCTGTGTCCGCCAAATACTAAAAAATAAATATTAAAATTCTCTCTCTCTCCCTCCCTCTCTCTCATTCTCTCTTTAAAAAAAAATAAATAAAATAAAATAAAATTTTAAAAAAATTAATAGTCTTTATCTTTTAGAGGCTCTGGGATATAGCTCAGTTATAGAGCACATACCTATCATGTTTGAGGTTCTTATAAAAGAAAGTCAACCTTTAGAGATGCATTCAAGAACATTCACATATGAAATGATATGGTGTCTAGGATTTATTTCAAAATAATCTGAATAAATAAATGAGAGTATAAATAAATAAAAATATAAAAAGTGAGAGTATAAATAAAGATTGGTCATTTATTTATAATTATTGAAATAAAATAATGGTTTCATTGAGGTTCATTATGCTATTATCTCTACTTTTACATATGCTTACATTTTTCCATAATAAAATGTCTTTAAAAGAAAAATCTAGATGGCCACAAACATGAAAATGTCTACTACAAATGAGAAGATCCAACATTGTGTTGTTAGTTGAGGAGCAGACTGAAGGAATCGTCGCAGCAGGGTAGCCTGGACACTCAACCCTCACCCATCTGGTTCCTTTTGGATTGTTTGCCTCAAGGCTGAACCCTCAGCCCCACTCAAGGGTGCAATGGAAACCCACATCTGGCCCCGCTGGGTCTGCATGAAGGCAGAAGGTGACACCCTTAGCAACTGAAAGCCAACAAGGCAGCCTGCAGACCCAGAGACCTAGATTTTGGCTATAAAAACTGTCCTGCCTGCCCCCCTATCTTACTCTGGCTCTCTCTTGCTTTGCCCTCCCTCCCTCTCTCACGCTCTGTCTCACCCTCTCTCTCTCTCTCTCTCTTGCACTTTGCTCCTCTCTCTCTCTCTCTCTCTCTCTCTCTCTCTCTCTCTCTCTCTCTCTTGTTCTTCTCTCTTTCCCACGTTGTCTTTTCTCCTCTTTCTCACTGCTGCAGTAAAGATCTCTGTCGCTCCGAGTGTTGTGGTCACTTTCCTTTCAGTAATTATGTTCAGACTCCCCAAACATGTAACTTGACAGAATTTTCCAGGGACATTGATAACTGACTCAAAATTTCATGAGGAAGAGTTGACATAAACAAAATTAAAGGGTAAATTTGTACWGCTTTTCTTACTTTACTGAGTTTGTTTTATTGATCTCTTCTATTTGGGAGCTCTTCTTGATGGCTTTCTGTCCCACTCTGTCCCTAAGACAATACGGAGCAGGCTAGAGGTAGTTGATCTTACAATATTTTAAATGAAACTGAAATCAAAGTTTACTTCCTCATTGTGGATACCTCATGTGACAAGTTCCAATTTCTTTTTAAAGTCAGTTAACTAAAGTCTCCTTGCTACTCTGAAATCTCGGAAGCGATCACATCAATTCAGGAATTCTTTCTATGGGAACACCTGCTGATTCTATCACGTATGTAGTCTGTTCTTTTCCCCCCATTTGGCCTTTGAACACTCCCATTTATGATTTTAGCTTGCTCTACCTGCCAGATTTTAAATMTTTGGTTTCAGGAAGTAGACTAAAAAAACATGTTTCTCAGTCTCTGGTCTTTCTGATTTAAAAGAATCTATTTTTGAAAAGTTAATATTTGCTTGAACATCTAAGCTTGAGGCTAAACCCTAGCTTTCTYTGGGATATATTTGAAGGTTCATGTGTTTAAAATTCCAACTGTTTTGAATCAAAAAAGAAATGAGAAAGAAAGTGGAATCCAGATTGAGGCAATTAGTCACTGAACTTCTGTTGAAGTTCTTTGAATTAAATATAGTAATGGTGTTTTAAAGAGTACATAATTACTTTCTTTGAAATATATATTTGATTGTTAAAAAAGTTAAAAAAGGAAAATGCCCTGAGGATTTGAAACCAATAGTTGGCAGTTACCTTTTAACTATCTCCAAAGGTTTGGGGCATTTTGTTTATTTATTTATTTATTTATTTAGCTACTGGGGATTGAACCTAGGGGTGCTCAATCACTGAGCCACATTCTCAGCCTTTTKGGGGGGAGGGGATTGAACTCAGGTGCACTTGGCCACTGAGCCACATTCTCAGCCCTATTTTGTGTTTTATTTAGAGACAGGGTCTCACTGAGTTGCTTAGTGCCTCACTATTGCTGAGGCTGGCTTTGAACTCTCGATCTTCCTGCCTCAGTCTCACAAACTGCTGGGATTACAGGCGTGCACCACCGCACCCAGCCACGCCCAGCCTTTTTAATATTTTCTTGAGAGACAGGGTCTCATTAAGTTGCTGAGGTTGGCTTTGAACTCACAATCCTCCTGCCTGACCACTGCTCCTGACTTATTTTTTAATTAAATGCATTTTTAACTGTTACATAAAAACATACAGTTTTGGGCTGGGATTGTGGCTCAGCAGTAGAGAGATCGCCTAGCATGGACAGAACCCCGGTTCGATCCTCAGCACCACATAAAAATAAAGGCATTGTGTTGTGTCTAWMWACTCCTAAAAAATAAATTTTAAAAACATTATAAAAAAACCAAACCATACAATTTGTACATATTAATGGGGTATCATCTGATGTTTTGATACATATACACATTGGATTGTGGATATTTAAAGAGAAGTTAAGATGAGCTCAGGTATTCAAAAATTCAGAAGATGAATTGATTTTTTGGAAGGGTTTCCCCCACCCCGCTTTCTGGTACTGGGAATCAAACCAGGGCCTTGCACATGCTAGGCAGCTAGGCAGGCACTCCACCACTGAGCTACACACAGAACCCTCAGCCTCTTCTTTTTGTTTTGTTTAGGTTTGATTTGGTTCTTTTGTTTTGGGTTCAGGGAACTGAACCCAGTGGTGCTTAAAAGAGCCTCATCCTCAGCCCTTTATATTTTATTTAGACAGGGTCTTGCTGAATTGCTTAGGGCCTCACGGGACTTTGTGATCCTTCTGCCTCAGCCTCCCAAGCTACTGGGATTACAGGTGTGTGCCATCGCATCCAGCCCTTATCCTCCTCTTTAGCATGATTTTCTGTTTTGGAAAGTAAGAGCAAATTTTCCCTTAGAAAATTAGATTAGATGTATTGGCAAATCCTAAAAAGTCCCTTCTTTTTAACCTCTAAGCGTGTTTGGTTTACCAGATGAGGAATTTCTGAAAATCATTTCTTAAAGTGCTACTAAGTATTGGAAATAATATTTTAGACATAATTCTACACATATTCCTCCTGACTGTGTACTTCAGGAAGTTGCCTGTAGAATTCTGATTTTCAGGAGTGTGTTCCTTTGGTATACTCTGCATTGCTACTTTCTGTTTTGAAAATACATGGTCACAACATACGTAGCTAACAGTGAGGCTTCCCTTAAACAGAATGAAGTGGCTGCTTTATGTGTCCTTGGTGTGCTTCTCTGCAATGGCACAGCTGCATAAAGACCCTGCCCTGGATCACCACTGGCAGCTCTGGAAGAAAACCTATGGCAAACAATACAGACAAAAGGTAGATGGGGTTCTTACTGGAGCAAAATGCTTCCTTTTGAAATTATGTTCTTTACAAACTGTGTTTTCCACAAATATTATGCAATTACTTCTTGCCTGATGCTCTTTTGGGTAGTATACAGCAGGAGACAAAATGAACTTCCAGTTATTATGGAGTTTATGTTATAGTGGGAGAGATGAGAAATAAGTAAATAAATAAGCAGATGTATGGTATGCTAGATGGTGAGAAGTGCAATAGAGAAAAATAAAGCAAGGCATGAGGGATTGGTAGGGCCCTGAGTGGTGGCTGCACTGAGGGGTCTGTGTGTGTTAGGATGGTGAGGGAAGTCCTCATAAATAATGTGATATTTGAGCAGAGAATTGATAGAAGTCAGGGAGCAAGCAAAATAGATAATGTAGTAAAGGTTTCAAGTTAATGGAAAATGAATGCAAAACTCTAAGGAAGGAGCACATTTGGTACGTTTGAGGAACAAAAAGTCGTAAAAACTGCAATTACCCCATTCCTGGAACTTAGAATTGCTAATAACTGTTGTTTCCTAACTCTCACTTCCCACTTTGTACTTTTTGTTTATATTTCAAAGTATACTTGTTGATTGTTTTTAAAATTTTAGCTGCGTTGTTTAGAATAACTAAGTCCTATAACTATGTAACATTTCTAAGTTAGGATAATGTTTATTTGATGTATTGTTTTGTATAAAAATGATATTCTTAGTAAGCCATGCATTCTAAGTTCTCTCTTTTTAAAAAAAAAAAAAAATTGTTTTTTAGTTGTAGTTGGACACAATACCTTTATTTTATTTATTTTTAGGTGGTGCTGAGGAATGAACCCAAGGCCTCACACGTGCTAGGCAAGTGCTCTACCTCTGAGCCACAGCCCAAACCCTCTAAGTTCTCTTTTTATTTATTCATTTATGAAAAGGAACTCCTGTGCAGGGAGATCTGTGAAGGAGACACACAAAGGACAGACACAGGCACACAGGGAAGCTGCAGACAGACAGAAGGATGGTAAACAAAAGGGTGTCTACTCCTCTCTGCTGTCATCTTTAATAACCCAAAAAATGACTACACTGTAACCGGTATTCCTTTAACCCTGAGTGCTAGCTGGTTGAGAAGGTCCAGGTTAACGCAAACACAGAGACTCTCTCCTTCAAAGGATGTCACTATGGAAACCAGGTAGTGCACCAGCGGAGTTTTCTTACTAGCTCAGAGGGAGGAGTGGGACACCCCAGGTCTGGGAAGCGGGGTAAACCTGTGAAGGACAGTGCTGTGGCAGCCAGGTGTCCTGTGCCTTTGCAAGGAGCTTCCCAGTCTCCAGGTTTTACCTAGCAGCCAGGCATCTGTGACTCTGCACAGAAACTTCCTAGTCACCAAGCATGTAACAGGGACGAAGTTTGTAGATCCCAGTTCCAAACACAGAATTCCTACAGCTCCCCTCTTTTGTTTTTTAAGGATTTTTGGATGAATAATGTCAGTTTCCTTCTTAATGCTGGTGGGGGCAAAAAAAAAAAAATAGCAAAGGCATTGATAACAGCAAGTGCAGCATAACAATTCCAATAGCAATAGACATCCACCTATGAATAATTATTTGACCCAGGTGAAATTGGGCAGCCATGCAGTTAGCCAATCCTACAAGTCTAAACCTCCATCATCTTGTCGGACCTTATTAACAATGTCCCTAAGGTGGTCTAGCTCCTTTGAAATGGAATTAACTGTTATCACTCAAATTAAAGCAACACATATTATTAGACTCCTGACAACCTTTATTATATAACAACAACAGATAATAAATAGCAGCCTGATTGTCAAGAATGGCTTGACAGTGCTGTTTTTGTTCTCATTAAGCATATTAATGGCCAGAGAAGTAGGATTAATACTTTTTACCACAGCACAGGCCAGCTTCATAGTGGTTTTATAAGTCCCGACAGTTAGTCCAGGGATACCCACTAAGGAAAATGCCAAAGCATCAAATTCTGCCTTAGAGAAAAGATGTACGGAATCATCACAGTTCTCTTCAAGGGGAATAGAACTCTTATGAATATGTTGTGCAGGATGGTGGCCCATTAAATCCTTCGAGGATGATGAGAACACAGTTAATTTGTTGAGACAACAATGAGTACCATGCGACATTCTTGCAGGTATATAACAATTTTAGCCAAGCAAACCTAGATATTATAATAGGTTCTAGAAGTCCAGAAGTATGACTGTACTAAATTTCCCACAGCTGGGGTACAACAGCAGAAAAACATTATCATAAGGATCAAAACATTTATAGAGTTTTGTGTGAGTTTAGCAAACAAAGCAGTAACTAAGTTTTTCAGAGTACATTTTAACCCCCTTTGAGCTAACAGCTGTTGAGCTGAGGCAGTTAATGATTTTATATCCCCCCAAGTCAGTGGAAGTCTAGCAGCTTGGGATTCTCTTTTGTGTTCTGTATCTGTCCTCCTTTTATGTTTCTTCTCTATCGAGGAGAGTAATCATTGTCCTCTTGTTTGGTGGGACTCTCCTCATCCAGGATCAAACGAAACTTGGGAATCGGGTTGTGAAGTTCCTGCTGTCCATTCACAATCAATAGATCTTATACRTGGAGCTGGAGTCCAAGCAGGACCTGTTGGTGTRAGCACAGCAGTCTATCCTTTTCCCCATGTGATCAGAGGCATAGGTCTTGTCATCCTGGGTCTAGAACCCTATATTTTACATAAATTTTTAGTAATGGCTGTTTGGGAATAAAATGTCTATCCAAAGCAGACAACTAATTGTGAGTGTTAACTTTGCATTGCATATTGAGCATATTAACTGTAAATAAAATAATATTTAAAGCATTATTAATATGAGAGAGGCTAGATTACCCCTTTTTTGTTTTAGTTTTAAAAGGCAAGTTTTAAGAGTACAATGTGCTCGTTTAACCAAAGTTTGTCCAGTAGGATTATGAGGAATTTTATGATTTAAAATTATATTACATTGATTACAAAATTGTGCAAAAGCAAAAGATGTATATGCAGGGGCATTATCCATCTTTAAATGAATAGGCTTGCCCAGGGTGGCAAAACAAAGCAATAAATGAGAAATACAAGCAGATACCTAGCTCAAATAAACCCAGAATGGGGATTAATACAAACATGAAGAAAGGAGTAAGGATGAAAAGGAGGAAAATGAGTAACATCCATTTGCCAAAGTGCATTAGAATGGAGGCTCTGTGGATTCATAATTTTTTACATAGGGGCCCATAAGAGTACACAGTCAGAACAATTGTTAACTATAGCATGAGCCTGTTGARAAGAGATGGAAAACATTTTTATTAGTGATCGAACATTTTGATGAAAAAAAAATCCATGGGAACTCACAGCACCTGAAAACAAAGGATAATGGGATTTTATAGCTTCATCTGTGTGAGCGTCACTCTCCATCAAAGGTCTAGAAATCTTGGTGTGGCTGTGTACATAGCAAGGAAGATGGGAGACATACGATGCTGTAAAAGAGTTTAAAGGGTTTTAGAGACAGTAAATTGGAATCCAAAGGAGGGCATAACACAGCCATGGAAATATGAGGCACAAGCTTAGCTATACATTGAGAATTTGTAATAACATTTAAAATAGTAGAAAACAGTTTTAACATCAGGATAATGGTAGCTAACTCAGCTCACTGTGGAGAAATTTGAGGTAGGGTATAATAGTCAGCCCATTCTCCATTAATAAAAACAGACCTTACTCCTCTTTGTTTACTTCCATCTGTATACACCATTATTTCATCTACAAGTGGAACAGCAGAAATTAAGGAAAAGGGATATAATTAAGGAACCTGATATAACAGAGAGAATTGTCCATTATGAAGCATGTGAAAATCAATAGGTGCTAAAAAATCTGTTAATATAACTTGATAATAGWATGAACTGTAAATATTAGAGATATATAAAGTTTTTTTTCATAAGCAAGGTATAAATCATGAATGTCCATGCCTGTTAAGGATAAAATTTTAKTATAATCATCAGCAATTAACTGAGCATACATATCAGTAAAAGACAAAATATTGGGGCTGGGGTTGTGGCTCAGTGGTAGAGCTCTCATCTAGCACACATGAGGCACTGGGTGCAATACTTGGCAACACATAAAAATAAAATAAAGGTTATTATGTCCACCTACAACTAAAACAAATATTAAAACAACAACAACAAAAAAAGACAAGGGCTGTGGTTGTGGCTCAGTGGTAGCATGCTCGCCTAGCATGCATGAGGCACTGGGTTCAGTCCTCAGCGCCACATAAATGTAAAATAAAGATATTGTGTCCACCTACAACTAAAAAAAAAAAAAAGATAAAATATTACAGATAAAATATTTTCAGACAAAATATCTGAAAAATGAGAAAAAATATAACCATTTTATTATATATAATTTCTTATTAAGAATAGCAAATACTCCTGCAAAAGCATAAGGCTTTCCAACAAGAACTATCAATGATAATGGCACTTTAGATACAGGAGGTCAATCCACCATCACTGTCGATAACTTTTCATTAATTCTCTGTTATAAAGAAGCCTGTTATAAAGAAGGAGTCAAATGAAGGAAGGAGGCAGCATCCTGTTTCTTTAACAACTGGAAACAAAAGGAGAGATCAGCTTGGCACCAACTATAATTTTTAATTTATTTATTTAAGAAATCATACTTATGAAGACTAATCCCATTTATGTTAAATTTAATTTACTCATTTTAATTGTAATGTAAAAATACAAGAAAAACATGATTAATCATATTAATCATCCTTTTTCTGTTGAAGAAAAGTTTTTGAAGTAATGGATATTACATTATATCTCAGATATTTTTTAGAAATTAAGACTTTATTATTTGGCCACCTAGAAAAACCCATGACATCTATATATTTATTTAATTATTTGATTTGAATTAAGTTATCTGGATCCATTTAATTCTTTAAATTTAATAGATGAGTACTCATTTGTCTAAGTGTCGATTCAATACCAAGTATATAATATATAGAAATAAGACAGGCCTGTGTAATTGGAAATGTCAGGTATAAAATCCAATAACCATGATGGACATTGAAATCAATGGTTTCATATAGCTCGAAATTTTGTCCCTGATGGTTCTCAGACTCATTCCCAACATAACCATGTTTATATCTTCCTAAGATTTATTAAAAGAAATCCTTTGAATGTATTTAAGAGTTAACACCAGAGAAATTGGCCTTTGCATAAAGACAGAATGTAAAAACTTTTATAGTTAGATAAATCAAGACTAATCAGAAAAACCCCATCAGCTTGCATAGAATATTTAAAAACTTACATTGTAGTGGTATCAACTTTTTTTAATCAGGTCAGAGCATACCTTTAACTCAGACAAGAATCAGTTGGAAACCTGTGAAATTCTTAAAAAAAAAAAAAAAATTTTTTTTTTTTGAAAAAAGAAAACTTGCACATTTGAAATGTTCATAGCAGCACAATTCACGATAGCAAGATTGTGGAATCAGCCTAGATGCCCTTCAATAGATGAATGGATAAAAAAAATGTGGCATTTATACACAATGGAGTATTACTCTGCATTAAGAAATGACAAAATCATAGAATTTGGAGGGAAATGGATGGCATTAGAGCAGATTATGCTAAGTGAAGCTAGTCAATCTTTAAAAAATAAATACCAAATGACCCCTTTGATATAAGGGGAGTAAACAAGGACAGGGTAGGGACGAAAGTTTGAGAAGAAGATTTACATTAAACAGGGATGAGAGGTGGGAGGGAAAGGGAGTGAGAAGGGAAACCGCATGGAAATGGAAGGCGATCCTCAGGGTTATACAAAATGACATATAAGAGGAAAGGAAGGGTAAGACAAGATAATACAAATCGAAGAAATGATTTACAGTAGAAGGGGTAGAGAGAGAAAAGGGGAGGGGAGGGGAGGGGAGGGGGGATAGTAGAGAATAGGACAGACAGCAGAATACATCAGACACTAGAAAGGCAATTTGTCAATCAATGGAAGGGTAACTGATGTGATACAGCAATTTGTATACGGGGTAAAAGCGGGAGTTCATAATCCACTTGAATCAAACTGTGAAATATGATGTATGAGGAACTATGTAATGTTTTGAACGACCAACAATAAAAAAAAAATTTATTATTGGTTGTTCAAAACATTACATAGTTCTTGACATATCATATTTCATACATTTGATTCAAGTGGGTTATGAACTCCCATTTTTACCCCGTATACAGATTGCAGTTTTTCTGCTTTTTTTAAATTTTTTTTTTATTTCTATATGTGCTGCAGCATTAGGGAGGGGGAGGAGCTGGCTAAGAACGATGGCTAAAAACAGATAAGATAGTCAGCCAAACAGCGTGGATTTTAAAAAAACACTTTTTTTTTCTTCTTTTGTATAAAACGGTTTTTTACAATCCTATTAAATCATATAGGGGCTGTAATTCACATTTAAATACAAGGCTAGGAAAGTTAGAAATCCAGCAGAAGTTAAAAAGTAAGGAAAACTGTTGTAACCATTCTTTCTTTTATAAGATTATTTCCTTAGAGCATGATGTTGCAATTTATAATTTTTCTCAAAAGTTCTTTTCTTTTTTCTTTTAGTTTTAAACCTTGCAAATATTGTAGTAGTTTCCAAAGATGGTTGAACATAAGCAATGATTTCTTGTGGATTGGAAGGAGCAGAGCATGGTAGCCACAAGGAGATTTTGGATACTTGTTTATTGTTGTTTTCTTTTCCCCAAACTTTCGAGGCCCCATGAGGCCTCTTTTTAAAATTCCAACACGAATATGTACAAATATTCCCCCCTTATCAGCATTCTCAGAATAACACAGTAAAACAATTATTTATGTAGCATTTACATTTTTTTAATATTTGTTTTTTAGTTGTAGTTGGACACAATACCTTTATTTTATGTATTTATTTTTATGTGGTACTGAGGGTGGAACCCAGGGCCTCGAACATACTAGGCAAGTGCTCTACCTCTGAGCCACAACCCCAGCTCCTTTATGAGGCACTATAAGTAATCCAAAAGTGATTTAAGCTGGGTGTGGTTGTGGACACCTGTAATCCCAGCAGCTCAGGAGGCTGAGGCAGGAGGACTGCAAGTTTGAGGCCAACCTCAGCAATTTAGTGAGGCTCTGAGCAATTTAGCGAGACACTGTCTAAAAATCAAAAATATAAAGGACTGGGGATGTAGCCCAGTGGTAAAGTGCCTGGGCTCAATCCTAGACACCAAAAAGAAAGGAAGAAAGAAGGAAGGAAGAAAAGATGAAAGGAAGGGAAAGAGGAAGGAAACAACAAAAAMCATGTTCCCAATGAGAGGGGGTTGCATAGACTTGCTGCCTAAAATCAGGTTCTGCCCTGTGGCTTACCCTACTCAATAAAATGAGGCAGAACAGGTGTTGTTGACTGATTACTAGACCTAAGGCTTATTCTGGCTTTGGTTGTCAGTTATTCTAGGAAGTACATTGTATATTATATTTTATTCTATGTAAATGAATCTCCTGGAGGACAAGTAAACCAACAGTCAGCTTAATCAATTCACTCTGGATGAAATTAAAATACTAGAACAGTGGTAGGGTACTAG